GTATTTAATTTAGTTATGTCAGTTATGATAGTTTAGTTATGATGTAAATACAATATAAATTAAACCAAGATTATAATAATTATCATTTTGATCCATAATGTCTGACTGGGCCTCGTGTCACTTTATGTTGAACAAATTGGGCCCTGAGGTCAGAAAGGTTAAGAAGCTCTGATTTAGAGTACAGAGTGGACTCCCAGAGCCCCACGTTAAAACAGCTGAAACAACAGCGGCAACAGTTTAATGTGTGTGGCTGTAGGTTTGTCAGTGTCTGTGATTAAAACCAGGTCTTAATGAGCTTCTGTCAGTTTCACACTGTTTCTTATGAAAAAGAAAACAGGAAATGATGTGAGACAGAGCAGCTTGACAGGATTTCAGAATTCAGTGGAGAGCTCACATTAGAGCTGGAAACTTTCTGTCACTCCTCTGTCCTCTGTCTGCTGTTGTGTTGTGTCTGTGCTGAAGTTACGCTGAGTTCAGGAGCCTAGTCTCACTCTTTCCTCACTGCTTTGCTCTCCTCGTTTCTCTCTTTCACACCTTTTTATACTTTTCTTGATTTCTGACATAGAAAAGGCTATAATGATGTTGCCTAGACAATTTAAAAGTAAAATGTTTAAAAATCATGTTATATGTTCTTAAAAAAACACAAATAATGACTACAATTCAGTCAATTTCACAAATATTGTGGTAAAGTGTGTGGTTGTTCCTAGTTCTTAGTAACAATAACTGGTTAGGAAATGGTTTGTCTGTTTTCAGTTCTTACATTTGTTCATTTATAACATTTAAGACAGACGTTACTAGACAAAACACAGAGCTGGTGCCAAACAAATCAAGTCTTTAAGAACACAAAACTGTTCAAAAACACCAACATAAATAAATGAGCATGAGGATTTTAGTTTTTACAGAACTCTCTGGTTARGAACAGGAATAGTTTTTCAGGTTTTCACTGTGTTTCAATTTAAAACGGCAACAAACCCAGCTGAACCCTTAATAACTGTAAAGTGAATGAAAATATGGTCAAAACTGTTAACAGAGCCATGCACACTCCACATTATTTAAAGGATCGGCCACAGCAGCAGCACAGTTAGGTCTGTGATTGAGATGACTCCATAAAGTGTCAGGTGTTTCAGGAAGTTCTGTTCAGAGAGGCAGGTAATGTGGCTGAAGTGGGCTGGAGTGGTCTGACTTTCCCATGACTGCAGAAACWATCTGTGCAGATAATATCCCACAGAGAGACCACCATGCTCTGGATGAGGGGGCTGAACTTCAGTAAGAGGTGCTAAGAAAGTCTGTCAAAGAAAAAAAAACACATTATGCATCAAAGACCTTTATTCCTGAGTTTTACATAAAAACATCTTGTGTCAAAAAAGACCAAATTATTGCAGATTTAGACAAGATCTCATGTATTACAACATAAGCAAGGATAAACATAAAGATAAGCAACAGTAAAAGAAGTTAGGTTAGATTATTGATAGCAGRATTTCTGCTCATTGGAGCTGGTGGATATCTGGGCTATCATGAAATTCACAGTGTCGGCAGGGGATTCTGATGTTATCAGTCCATGAAATGGACGTTATTAGGCGTTATCAGTCCCATACAATGGCTTCAGAGGGTCCCTACTGTGCTTTCTAGGCTTCAGACTGTCCCGACAGTGCCCCCTAGTGGGTTAATATATCAAAGACAATGAATGTATAAATAACAAAAAGAAATTGTAATAAACTATATGTGCCCATGTCAGTCTCAAACCCTGTTCTCCCACTCTCTGGTCCAACACTCTACCCATTGCCCTCGTGGAAAACCACATTATAAGACCGTTGGAGGGTGGTGTCTTTAGCACTAACCATGTCATTTGCTCTAAAGTTAACCTTAGTGGATTTAAGCCTCATATTAACCTGGATGTGATTGTTGCTGAGGGTTGCAGTCCAGCTGTGCTTCCTGAGCTCGCTGGCTGAATGGTGTAGATCTTGGAGAAGTTGTGCTCGGTGAGGAGAGAACGACTGGAATTCTCCATGGAGAGTTCTAATGAGACATTAAGGTGGACAAGTAAATGTACAGTGTCAGCCTGTTCCAAAACAAGWTGTGTTTATGTGAATKTGGCACCTCTACTTGGCCTTCAAGGCTGGATATGTCAGACACTCACACCTTTAACCCTTCGCTGGCTCCCTTCACCACCACCATCCCTCTCCCTCCCMTCTGCCTTCCCTAACCCCTAACCTCTGCTCTCGCTCTGCAGAGGGGTTTTTTCTAACCTCATTGTGTCCTATGAGGACATAACATGAGATGTTCTATTTTTAGTCCTCACCTACCCTYACGTTGGCAGTTTTTATTTTTTATTTTTTACTAATGCACAGAAAGCAGAGCCTTCATGGCTGCAGCCGCTGGCACCTGTACCTCCTTRTTTTTGTTTCTCTTGGATGGGTGTTGTAACTTTTTTGAATTCAGGGACAATAAAGGCTTCAATTTAATTCAATTCAATTAAGGGATGAGTAATGTAGAAATAAATGTAAAAACCTTTTTGCAAAGCAGTAGGCTAACTGACTGATGAAAACAATGTTCAGATACCAAAAATATGAAGTAATAACTTTGTTTAATGTCATTAAAGTGCCCATATTATGCTTTTAAATCCTTCTTTTTCACATTTAAATCYTTCAATTGGGGTCTATAAAAAGTGGAGCGGCAATGGTTTTTTCTGAATTCCTCCTTATTGTGACTCTACAAGCCCCGCCCCTTTTATGGGGTGTGTCTCAGATCAACTCATTTTGAGGCTGTTTCTTTAAATCCAAATGTGGAGGTTCACACACACCCCCTCCAGCTTTCAGACCGGTTCATTCTAGTTTGATAGAGGGGTTTATATAGCTGCACAGAAACAATTTATTTACAATTAATTAAAAGGTGTCATTAATAAATGCAACTTTTCTCCATTTAATACAAAATACATTTAATGGCTGCAAACATAAAAATGTATTTGTCAGGATATGTCCCCTTTAAAATGGAATGAGAGATGACCAATTCAAACTATTCAGTTAAAAAATAAAGTAACATTGTCGTATTAATGAGTCTGTTTGTTACTAACCTTAGAATACTTATAAAATGATGTCACTAAGAACATAAACCACAGCCACATACTGAATAAATGGATCAACTTGACCATTTATAGATAAGTTTTCTCTTCTTCCTGCAGTCTGTGTGTGAGGGTGTGTCAGTCAACTGAATGTTGTCCTTGGAGCGTGCCGAGTGGAACTCCAGAGGATGGCTGAAGCACAATGACAGCAGCTCGATGCTCACCTCCTCAGTTATCACAGCTGCTGATCAGAAAAGCTTCAGTCTGTCTGCAGTCTCATGTCCTGACAGCTGAGAGCTTTGTACCCAACTGTTCAACAATCAGGATCTGTGTTTGTTGGCTTGCTGTTGTTCAATAAGGAGGTTGGTAGTTGCTGTTGTTACACCTGGAAGAGATAAGAAACAAACTCAGGCTTTAATTTAAGTTTCACGTCTCAGTTTCAGAACAGAGCAGGGAAGTCTTTCTGTTTAAAATGAGACAAAGGTTTTTCTTGATGACCAGGTGAATGCTGATGTGGAGGTGAAATGCTCAATGCTAAGTGTGAAATATCACGGGATGACCCCCAGCTACCACCACATCAAGTTTGAGCTCATTATCTAATATCTGCTGAGCTATTGTTTGCTAAGGTCAGCTCTAGCAGCCATCTTACTCTGGGTCACAGACTTTCATGGTTAAGAGCCACAAGAAAAAAATATTAAACTAGTGCCATCTGCCGTTTTGAATCCCACAGTTCTAAAGCAGATGTGGAATCTGTTGGATGTTCAGCTACTACCAYGTCATATTTTACAGCATAAAACAGACAGAGCTACAGTACATACACTTTTATAAATATTAGAAAGGGAACTTGTTGGGAACATACAGTATTGTTTACTGGCTGATGATCCAGCTAACACTCATCTTAGYAGGTTCTAGTGACGTCTTCCAGGTCAGAGAGCACAGGGGTCCCATAATTATTTATTGTTTGTGTATTAAATTCAACAAAACATGCCCATTTGAATTAAAACTCTGTATAACTGACTTCATCTTTTTTCCTTTTTCCAAATAAAAGTTTGTAACTATTCACTTTATCTTTTTTGTTCTGATAAAGGATAACAGTTTAATGCATCTTTGGTAGAGRTGGGTTGTTGGGTAGTCTCCCTCCATTTCACCCTGTAAGTTGTCTACTTTTATTCCGAGGGAGTGTGAAACTGGAAGTAATCTTGCTAAAACCAGAAGAGATGTCAAAAGAAGCAAGCATGAAAAAAATTAAATAAAAATTAAGAAAACTTCTACATTTACAGCTAAATACAGTACATACGTAGTAAGTTGTTTGTTATTGCAATATTAAGCCTTTTTATAACTGCATAGTTTAATTTATGTTTTGTAAACTATTGAGAAAATGTGTTTTTCCTGCATGAGTGTTCTGAAGAGATTAGCATTATGTTGGTGGTTTCCATGGGGTTTAAACTTGGATGGGGCTGGCAGCTTTAGAACCACTATCTTAGACCAATCTAGTCAACGTCTAACCAAGGATCAGTGGTGACACCAACATTTAGCAAAATAAATTAGTCTCTGGATGTGCAAAGTGTGTAACAAACTCCAAAAGTCGACTGACTGAGGGACTAAATACAAACGCACACAACACTTTTTAGATGTGTATTTGAAAAAGTTTTTAAACGCCTGGTCATTCTCCTTCTGTTTCATGACCATTAATCCCAGTAAAAAGATGAAGTTTATGGTCGTAACATGACAAAATATGGAAAAGTTTGAGGGGTATGTATACTTTATCATTGCACTGTTAATAAAGTATATTGATTTAGTCCTAGTTACACGAAGGGCACCAGAACCTTACTTTCTGCAGATATAAGAATTACAGATCAGAGACAGATGAAGGGATTGTATAGTAGAAGTTGATGAAAGCAGATGATGAAAAGATGAAAGAGATGAAAACACAGAAGTGTTGAGTTTTAAAGGGTTTGGAATGAACTGAATGTAAGAAAACAGTGATGGTGCGTTCACACCGAACGCGATTTCAGCGTCAAAATGGCAGCCAACGCTGAAGTCTGAAGCTTGTGCACTTTGAGGTCAGACGCGGGACAGTTGTTGAAG